GATGCAATTAAATAACTATGATGATTCGTATTACTACACAATATGTGGATTCGTGCTACCAAAAGTAAGGAACTATAAAGATTTAGGAGTCGTATCACGCAAAGATCTCAAAACCACTCGTCACTGTATGGCTGCTGCTGCGAAAGGCTGTAGAGTATTATGATCTATTCGTAGGTCTTTCCAGTACTTAGATGACGAAATACTTAGATTGTTATACCCGATTTACGTACGACCACATTCAGTATATGGGATTCAAGCAGTGAGTCCTTGTTTCAAGTATGAGTCGGATATACTGGAACGAATCTAATGACCAGGTACTAAAATGGTACAAGCTCTATCTGGCCTATCTTATGAAGACAGACTGAGACATCTTAAATTATTTCCGTTATCTTACCGTAGAATACGGGGTGATCTAATATTGGCTTATCGTATACTGAACGATGACCTTGGTATTAACATGTCTTATCTTTTACCTCCGTCTAGGACTGATCATTTGAGAGGACATTCGAAGAAAGTTCAAATACCGAGATCAAATCGTTTACGTCTGGAGTTTGGTTTCTCGCACCGAGTAGTGAATTACTGGAATTTTCTACCGGAACACGTAATATCAGCACCTTCTGCTGATATATTTAAACCGACATTGGACCTCTGCAGTATTACAAACTGCAAGGATTAATGTAGGTCGATAGACCTCCTATGCTTATCACTAAAGCCTGAAGATAGACAAAAAATAACTTGAGCGCTCTATTTAAAAGGACAGTGGTATTCTTTCTCGTTGAGTTAATTAACTGTTTTGATCGTAAAATACGCATCAAAACTACCGTTTACACTTTAATTGCATCTACCCCAGTTAAAGTGTATTGTATTGAGTTTTTCGATTTTGCTTTTGTGTATTTATTGCATCGAAGCACACTTGGTCGACTTTTACTTGATTTATTTAGTTAAGGTTTGAGAATCCTTTTACATATCCTGTTTTTGTCACCGTTCTAGTTGATTTTCAAGATGGCTCGGTCTACTCATAAATGTGGACAACCATACTGCTTATTTCCAGTGGATAAAGGGATGCAATGTGATGAGTGTAATAAGTGGTTCCGTAAGATGTGCACCCGATTAAGCCCCACTGCATATAAAAGGTGTTCAAAGCCCAGCTCTCATTGGCTTTGTAGTTTTTGTTGCTCGAGCAAAACATTGCTTATCCAGGAAGCAATTAGTCTCCTGGTGTTGGCTAATAAGAAGGTTGATGAGGGCTGTACTGATAACATTGGTACTGATGGCGAAGATTGCGTTAGTGTCGTAAGTGCTATCACGGCGCAAGCCAGACATCTACCTGTGCAACCCGCAGTTAAACGTTCTCCCCCGAAACGATCAGTGAGTGACACCTCGTTAGACGTTGGTGGCCATATTGCTACAGCAGCAACCGGTGATCCAGATAAAACAATTACTGTCCCGAGCTGTTCTAATGTAGACGTTTCGACCGATGGAAAATGTATGACGCGAAAACGCAGAAGAGTAGGAAAGATAGCTAAAACTAATGACTGTTTACTTGGTAATTCCTCGGTGGACTCTCAGACCATTCCGCCAAAGTCCCATAGTAAAGCTTCGTCTGACATTTTTGTGAGTCATTCGCTTGACTCCCAGGACTCTGTTAAAATAAAAGCTAATCGTAAGATACCAGTAGTTAAAATACAGGATCTAACGTCACGGTCGAAAGCTGTGAACACAGTTTCAAAAGAAGCTAAACCCCTCCCTAGTTTAATTATTTGGAATCTAGAGGAGTCGAAAGACAACGACCCTGCTAGAAGACATGCACATGACCTGCAGGTAGAGGAATCTGTGGTAAGGAATGTACTACCTGAAGAGGTTTCAGGGGTACATATTACAAAAGTAATGCGACTTGGTAAATGAGTTGGAGGCGAGACCCAACCAAGAAGAATCCTGAAGCTGGTTCTCGGGAGTTTTGAAGAAAGAGACATATTATTGAAAAGCGCACTAACAACTCGTGCTTCAAATATCCGTATTCGACCAGATTGGCCGCTTGAGGATCGAATCAAGTGGAAGAAAGCTCTTAAATTAAATGGTGAAAATAACCTTACCATTAAGGGTTTTCGGGTAGACAGGTCTTGGAATCCAATCCTTCCAAGGCCTGTGTGGGTAGAACGATTGATTTCCAAAACACCTTAAGTGTATGCCACACGAACGCTCGTGGTCTTAGAAATAAAACGTCCGAGCCAAGTCTGATGGTGCAAGAATTATGTCCCGATATAATCGTTGTTACAAAAACTTGGTTCACCGTTGATATAGACTGTTCTCCTTTCATTGCAGGTTATATCTGTATTAGAAGTGATAGAGTTTCAAGTCGCAAAGGAGGAGGTATAATATTATACGTTAGGGATCACTTTCGCATACAATCAACCATATCGGAGGCTCATATCAGTGGCACATGTGAGGTTGCATGTTGTAAGATTAAATCTAGAAATGGGTTAGTGACTATAGGGGGAATATACCGTAGTCCGTCTTGTCTTGCAGACGGCTTTATCCTAAGGCACATCTGTTCTTGGAGTATGGCAGAATGTTGTCTCATCGTAGGGGACTTCAACGCACCGCATATCAACTGGATAGAGCTTACAGCTCCAGGTAGTGGTTTCGATAGCGACCTTTTATCTACCGTTATTCAGTGTGCACTTGTACAATGTATCACGAAACCGACACATATTGATTTGCAACATGTTCCGTCACTGCTGGACCTCGCCCTCACCCACCACTGTGAGGATGTCTTTGATATTCAGCACCTTCCCCCACTAGTGAACAGTGATCACGTTGTAATTCACTTTAAGTTTAGGACATATGGTATACAATTCGTATCTACTCCACCCCGTCCCAATATCTGGCGAGCTAATATTCCGGCAATCAGAAACTGTGCTATCTCGACTGATTGGTCGGTCGACGCGGATGGATTGATCGAAGATGAATGGAATAAGTTTAAGGCTACATTCGAGTCCGTAACGTTGCCGTTTATCCCATGGTCAGCACGTAAGCTATCACATTGCTCTCCATGGATTAATAAGGAAACACGGAAGCTGTTAAAGCGTAGGAAACATTTCTGGGACTTATTCTTGTTGACAGGTCATGCACCATTTAAGCGTGAGTACCAAAAATTCCTTAATATCTGTAAGAAAACCATAGTCAAATCCCGCACCACTTACGAACGACAGTTAGTATATGATAGCCGTACGTGTCCGAAGCGATTGTTTTCGTATGTTAAACGGCAAATGAAACGCAGTGATGGTATTCCCGCGTCACTGTTACACGAAAATTCAGGATTAATAGCTGCATCAGATCGAGCAAAAGCTGAGACTTTTTCAAACTATTTAAGCGAAGTCTTCTCTACGTTAATTGTAACAAATACATGTCCCACTCACACCGAGATACCAACCATGGAATCTGTACAGGTGACTGAGGGAACTGTCCTTCCGTTGATAACTAACCTCAAACCTGGTAAGATACCTGGCCCTGACGGGTTACATCCACGGTTGCTGTCATCTCTTGCGGACATTATTTCAAAACAGCTTGCCACACTCTTCAACATGTCCCTTTCACTCGCTCAACTCCCTAGAGATTGGAAGGACGCTATAGTCAGTCCCGTATTTAAGGACGGTCAGAGACATATAGTATCTAACTACCGGCCTGTCAGTCTAACCAGTATAGTCGTTAAGTTACTTGAAAAGATCATTCGGGTTAGGTTGCTGAGCCACATAGATTTATACAATCTGTTAGCTCCTGAGCAACACGGATTTCGTAACAAGCGTTCATGCTTGACTAACTTGCTTATTGCGAGGGAGGATTGGACAACAGCTCTAGATAACGGTCTGTCTGTCGACGTGATATTCACAGATTTTAGCAAAGCATTTGACAAGGTTTCACACTTAGGTCTTATGCAGAAGCTCACGAGCTTCGGAATAATAGGTACTGTACATGCGTGGATAGGAAATTTCTTATGTGACCGCGGACAGAGATTTAGGGTCAACGGAACGCTATCTGATTGGAAGCCGGTCAAAAGTGGTGTACCCCAAGGCACCATCTTAGGCCCTCTGATCTTCCTTCTCTACGCTAATGAGTTGCCTCTGTTGCTTAGGTCGTCGACATCATTGCTTGCGGATGGCGTAAAAATCTGCACAACAATAAAAAGTGCGGCTGATCATGTGGATCTTCAAGCTGACTTAGACGATTTAGTTAGATGGGCTCGAGAGTGGGGCTTAGAAATCAATGCTAGGAAGAGTGTACTAATGCACGTCGGTCACGGTAATAGTTACCGTTACACTATTGAGGGTAAACCTCTTCCATGCGCTCAAGAGCATAAAGACTTAGGAGTAGTATTAGGCCATGATTTAAAAACAACTACGCATTGCAAAGCAGCCGCTGTCAAAAGTTTTCGTGCGTTATGGTCACTTCGACGAGCGTTCAAATCTTTTGACGAGGAAACGTTTCGAATTTTATATCCCATATCTGTTAGACCACATTTAGAGTGCTGTATCCAAGCAGCTAGCCCGTGTCTGGTAAAGGATACTAACTCTCTTGAGTATGTCCAGCGTGTGGGAACGAAATTAGTGAAGGGTCTTTCTAGACTCCCTTACGAAGAGCGTTTAAAACGCCTAAATCTTTTCCCCTTGTCGTATCGTAGGACACGAGGTGACCTTACACTGGCATTTCGTATCTTTAATTATGATTTGGGTGTAAATATGTCTTATCTTTTTGCTCCCTGCAGCACTAATAATCTCCGAGGTCATAGCAAGAAGGTTCATAAACCACGATCTAAGAAACTTAGAGTGTGGTCCCGTTTTTCTCATCGAGTTGTCATTCATTGGAACGCCTTACCCGAACAAATGGTATCAGCCCCATCAGTGAATACTTTCAAGGAAAAGCTGGATTTTCACTGGAAAGCAATGTGTCAGGATTAACACAAGTTCATCAACCTTATTACTGAAAACTGAAGACTGAAGATTGAAATTGATAAGCGCGTACGTCGAAAGAAGTGGTCTTCGACTGAAGGTTGGTTTTACTTCAACTGACCAGATAACAATTTACTCGTGTAATTTGCACAAATAGTTAGTAAATTCTGAATATTAATATGGTAAAAATGTTAATCTGACATTTTACTAATGTTGTCAACGTAATCTAGGCCCTGCGTACCACTCAGAATTAATTAATTCTGAAGAACGTTCACTTTCTGCCCTCCTTAATTCTTAACTCACCTGTAGAATGGGATCGGTTATAAATTTTATGTAGCAAAACTATATTCAGAAGGTTTCCTGGCTTTGAGGTTCACGATACCGTTAACGTTTTGAGTTCTGTTTTAAACATAGAATTGTCTTACAACACCATTTGAATATTCGCTTGGAACTTATGTTGTCACTTCTCTGCCACGCTCCTAGTTTTAATTTAGAGCGGTATCTTGTTTTTTTCATGAATGACGACTAGACAATTTCTTTCAGGATTGAAAACCGTCATTAATTAATTAGTAGGGTTATTAGTTTCTAAGTTCTTTATCTGATATTAGACTTTTAATTCAGTGATAGTATCCCTACTCAAAAACTCGTTTTTTAGTCATACTCTTCATATTTGTCCTTATGATGCTTAGCTATCGGAACATAATATTTATTTTGACCTCCGTACCCACGGCGTAGTTCTTCCAGGAGTTTACCCGAGCTCCCAACTTTGAGGAAATTTTGGGGAAACTCACAAAGTCAAATGACCTTCACCAATGTTTGAGGAACTTTGGGAAAATTTCGGGGAATTTTGGGGAAATCCCCAAAATCAACTGACCTTGACCAAGGTTAGAGGGGAACTTTGGGGAATCCCCAAGTCTGGGGAAATTTTGGGGTTTTTGTGCCATTTGCCCAAAATTTCCTCAAACTTTACTATAGCGGCTTCCTTAAAATGTGCCAAATTTTCCCCCAAATCGGGAGCTTGGTTAGTTACCCTAAATAGTTCTACAAACTTTAAATACCAACACAAGAAACTATTTGTCAAGTTATGTGCCTACGAATACATCGTTACCATTAGGAATATGTTTCATGATAATGAGATCCTTGGCTACATCTTAGGACAAAAAAACTAACAAGTGGATAAGAAATAACTACAATCAGAGAAGTCATGGGGATACCTTATACAATGAGATTTAAGCTTCTTTCGGTTATTAAGCCGATCACTCGAAGTCTTTAACAAATAGTTATGATAATGTAGACGTCAATGAGGTAGTCTACACTTACATAAACAGCTCACTCTAACAGCCAGTATCTTCATATGCAAGTGTCACGTCCTGGTTTGGGCACCCTAGCTTTCTTCCAACTTACTCTCACACTAGCCATCGTCTCACGTCGCGGTAGGCGGTGGTTAGGCATACGTAACGTATGTCCTAGCCATCTCAGAGGATAAATATTTACTATTTCATCGGTCAGTTTGCCATCCTTACCAAGTACGCTGCCTCTAACTTCAAGAGTACTCGTTCCTCGAGTTACGTCAGTCTACTTTGGGGCGAATTGTATAAAGACTTTCAAAGAATTGTGTAAGAACCAAGAAACATGATTGGCGCTTCCTGACGAGTCAAAAGCATCAGCTGCATCTGGTTTCTGCCGTAAACTTTCAACTCATAGCCACTGACAGAAATTATCCTATTGTGAGTAAAAGATCTGTCACGCTAGTAGTACACCAATCAGTAACGTCCTTAGACGTCTTGGACAGTGGGCAGGGCACTTTGAGGAACAGTGCAGCTAACGTGTTGCCCCAAAAGCATCGATAAGATTTTCTGGTGACGACTGATCCACCGAACGAGATGATATGCAAGAAACTCCGACCCCTGAAGCGCTGCAGGTCACTAGACCTAGATGGCTGGACTTCGGCTATTTTGAAGGAAGGTGATGGACTCTCGGTCAGAGAAGTGACTAGGCTGTTTGGGAACTTACTTACGCCTGTTACCTCTCGCGGAAGAGCATGCGCCGCCCACCAGGATTCTCCATCGAACTCTGTCCTAGGCAATCCTTTGAAGTTTCTGTTCATTCTTTTGATGTTTACCTCCGATTTCCGACTCAATATGCCCATTATTCTTCCTCTTTTCCTCTTCACTTCAGTATTCCGAGTTATTTATTTTATTTGTTTGAACACATGAATATTGGTACAAAGGAGGACTGAGTACATATGTGCAACACAGTCACGTGATTTATGTGTGGACTGTGATACTGCCCGAATGCCCAGACCGAAGCAGGTAGTTTTCCTAAGCGGCCACACCCGGAGCCTTCGACCTAAAGGTCTGATCCACAAGGCAATGGAGCGACGTCGAGAGATGCAGTCCCATGGTAGCCGGTGACCGACTGTTGGTTCGCATTGCATTTGTTCTTTCAGATCCTAGAGCCCATGTACACCATTGTTTTGGAATCATGGTTTTCTAACTCCCCTAGGTGAACCCTCTGTGTCCATCAACCCGGTTAAAGCGCTGGACATTCGCCTTTCGTCCTCTCAATTTCGTAAACAACACCCCGTTCGCGAGAAGGCAGTGAGTAGGACTTCCCTGGCAGTGGCTGTATACTAGAGGAAGAGCGGACTTTCCTCACTCTCGGCCGTACCAGGGGCGGTGATTCCGAGTTGGCGCTTACCTCATGATGCCGTTTTGATGATTTCCACAATGTATGTCCTATCCACTTCCAGAGTCTTATCGAACTTGCCTCTTCATCTGGAAGCTGGTTTGTTCTCTCCCACAGTAGGCTGTTGCTGATCGTACATGGCTAACGCACATTCAGTATCTTGCGTAGACAATTGTTTATAAATACTTGTACTTTTTTGATGATGGTTGTAGTAGTTCTTCAAGTTTCAACTTCGTACAGTAGAACTGTCTTGACGTTCGTATTGAATATTCTGACTTAGATATTGGTTGACAGTTGTTTTGAGTTCCATATGTTGTCCAGCTGTAGAAATATTGTCTTTGCTTTGCCAATCCTTGCCTTTACTTTATCCGATCCCCCTCGTTCATCAATGATGCTTCTCAGACACATGGAAGTTCCCATCTCTTCCAGAGTTTTTCCATGTGTTATTGGGTTAGTGTTCCCTGTGTTGTATTTCAGAATTTCGCTTTTTCACTTGTGTATGTTGAGCCCTACTATTGCAGAGGCTGCTGCTTGTATGGAAAGGTTCGATAGATTATTATGTATCAGAAACGGGATTAAGTAGAATTGTTCAGTTTAAATGTTGCTCCTCAACTTTATCATCAATTGCATTATGAAGGTAGCTCTGATGGGATTACTCGTGGAGTGGGTCTGCTACTCGAAGAAAGACTTCTATCTTGAGTATAGAGACGATATTCAGTCAGTTATCAACAACGTGGAACTTCGTACGTACGTACGTACATCAGTTCAAGTTGCCATACCACATTAGCACAGAGATACAATTGTCAATTCAAATACCGTAGTGGTAGAGGTAGTAAAAGTAGAAGCAGTAATCGGAAAGATCAGGGTTTGAAGATGTTATTCAAAAAGTATAATCCAGTGAAATAAATTTGGAAAGAGGAAAAAACGGACATGAAGAATTCAGAAGGTTAGAATTAGGGAGAACACAAAGAGTGAATGCACCTGTACCACTGCAAACGATTTTTAGCCATGTCATTCCAAGTGTCTAACCATCGGTTGTTATCGTCTCGCGGATCCCAACCAGGTAGTCTACACCTACCAACATGGCTCAGTCCACTTGTCAGTGACTCCATTGATTTGTGCCATGTTTTGGTCTGGCAGCCCGAACATGCTTGCATTGTTGCTTACGGTGGTCAGAAAAATCTGCATTTTGTCAGCGTCTTCACCAAGCAGAACTATGTCACCGGCATATTCTAAGTCAAGTGAGTCTCGCTGTAAAAGTTCAACTTCTGAAAATTTAGATGAGGAAAGTGTTATCTCTGAAAGCACTTCAACAACAAAGTTAAACAAGAATTGGGAGAGTGGACAGCCTTGACGAACACCAATTGAGGTAACCAATTCTGATGGTAGTTCACCATAAGCTCTCACTCGGCTAGTTGTGTTCGAGTAGAGAGCCTTTCTAAGGTTATTTTACTTCTTCGGTACTCCTTTCAGTGACAAATGCTGCCATAGAACCTCACAATCGACCGAGTCAAATGCCGTCGTAAGGTCGAGGAATACTATTATTGTGGGGTGTCTGAACGTGTGTCTGTGTTCTAGGACCTGACGTGGTGTGAATATCTGGTCTATACAACCACGTCCAGGTCGAAAATCGGCCTGGTTTTCTCTAGTCTGCTCTTCACGAGCTTCAGTAAGGCGTCGAAGTATTATTGAAGCTAATATTTTAGACACTATATTAGTCAAACTAATTCCTCTGTGATTGTCACAAGAGGACTTTTGTCCTTTCTTATAGACTGGCACAACCAGTGATTGAGACCAGTCAGATGGGATTACATCCAGCTTCCAGACTCTACCTAAGGCCTCAGTCAACCTCACTGCTAATGCTGGACTGCCATCCTTACAAATCTCAGAGGTAAACTTGTGAGGTCCTGCTGCTCTCCCACGCTTCAGATTTCGTATAGCTTTTTCAACCTCATAAAGAGTTGGAGTACTTTACGACGATATTGCTGGTGGTGGTGTAAGTAGTGAGATCAGTCTGCGTAAAGTGGAACCCAGAGAGGGTTGCCTCAACTCGGACTCTCCTTGTCGCTGTCGTGATGCTAGTCTGGTTGTGAAAGGTTGGGTCTACAACACGTCGGTGCAAGTTGTTTTACTCTATAGTTTTGGAACTTGATTTCCATGATACTGGGGTGTGAAAAAAGCTGAATAGGGCTAGCATCTATTTGTCCATTACAACTCTTTGACTGGGGCCCGAGATATGGTGCAACTCAATGACTTGAGACGTTACCAGTCATGGCTCAGAATAGAGGTCAATGGCTAATCTGTTAGACCAGCTTTACATGTAGGATAAATCCAATTTACAATAATACGGTGTTTTCTCATCGTGACCGTTATCAGGCATTTTCTTAGTGAGTATTATCTAGTTTATCTGTCATACGAATTACATTTAGTTTGTTTCTGTTTCAAGACAAAAGGTTAACTACCAATGAGGCTCAATATTCTTCTAAACTCCGTAGAGAAATTAAAAAATTTTGTTTATTGATTGTATTGGGTTATCGATTGAAGATGACTGATCCACTATACAGATTGCATAGGTAGTGTGAGTCGTTAGCTCATAAATTCTTTTTGGCTACAATTGTTTGCCAGAGTATTAACGTAGCTATGTATGACCACTTTCCGTTTGCAAATCAGTTGTAAACACATCCGGTATTACGTTAAACTTTTTCACCCAATTTAGAATTTTTGAGGGTAAATTGAAAATATTCCATACTTGACATAGCAGTGTAATAAACCGGGTAAAGGAGAGAAGCATGAGACAAAATATTAGTTATTAAACTGAATAATGCGTCGCAGTGATGTCAGTTTATACTTGTCCTCAAATACATCAACTAGCTTAGCTTTGCATTAGAAAATGGTTTACTACATATGTTTCGATAAAAATTATGTACTAAAACTCCATCATCATCATTCATTTGATATAGCTTCGCTCCGCTGTTGCAAGAGTATTTATAAATTAGGGATTACACAAAGAGCTATGAAGTAGATCAAATATTGTTGGTTGGAAACGATCTACAATCTTTATATTTATTAACAAATAATCTCCTCATTTCCCAAAACATGGTATTAGCGCGCTCGTATGTAGGTACTCATATTCCTTAAAACCTCTAGTTTACATAAGATATCTATAGAACTGGTCACCAGTAGACTTCATTTTCTTTCTGTATCACTAATATTTAAGTAGTAAAATCTTATTTGAATTTGGTCTTTTGTAGCTAATCTTGAGATGGACAATTTAATAGCAGATGTATCAGACATTGACTTTATCATTGAGAGCCAACTAGAAAATCAAATTGGATTGGGATGTTTGCCTTTCTCAAATATGAACAGTTATTTAGATTTTATTTAATACTGTTTCTTTAGAGTCCGGTGCTGGTGTTTGCCGTTTTTTTATTATTAATCAATGTCCCCTTAATAATTTATGTCCTTTGAGACATATCAAAGCTGACAGGACAGTCGTATGCAAGCATTGGCTTCGTGGATTGTGCAAAAAAGGTGATGACTGCGAGTTCCTACACGAATATGATATGACTAAAATGCCAGAATGTTACTTCTTTTCGAAATTTGGTAAGTTGAGCTTCAGATTATTTCTTACTAGTGGTATACAGGAGAGTGTATGAATAAAGAATGTCCATTTCTTCATATTGACCCCGCTTCTAAGGTACAGGATTGCCCTTGGTATGATAGAGGGTTTTGCAGAAACGGTAATAGAATTCTTACTTTTAGAGATATGTCTAGGTCCTTTGTGCCGAAATCGACATGTCAGACGAGTAGCGTGCAAAAACTACATAAATGGTTTTTGTCCTAAAGGACGTGAATGTAAATATGCGCAGTGAGTAAAACTCTATTTCTAAACTTTGTAGTCCTATATGGTGGCCCCTTCCAGGAAGTGATCAAGATACACAGAAAAGCCGCTGGATATGTCATTACTGCAGTAAGTTTCCTCTACATCATATACTGTGTATTAGTTTCTGTCTTTCGACTTTAAAATGTACCGTATTTTGCATTTTAGATGAACGTGGACACAAAATACAATTTTGCCTCAAACTATCACCTGAGGAACGTCTTCGACTACAGGAGCAGCAGCGAATGCAGAATATTAGCACTGGCGGTGCAGCGTTGCCTCAACAAGGTGTTAATCCCGGATCTCGTTTTGTTTCGGAACGTCTCAAGTTCGGTGGTCTTATGGGGACCTCACAGGCTGCTCCTACTGGACCTCGACAAGGCCCACAAAAACCACTTGACGAAGTAACATGTTTTAAATGTGGAGAGAAAGGACATTATGCGAATCGATGCAACAAAGGCTATTTAGCATTTCTCAGTAAGGTTTCACTACAACCCCATGAAATGGAGAGTGCTCGTGGCTGATGCAAATGTGAAACTAGAAACCAGTGTATTGTAACCTGTACAGCTCTTATCTACATTTTTTATTATTTTCTAAAGAACGAAGCTGAATTCCTATGAACTAAGTTTTAGTTTTTGACTGTAGTAGTCTCTTAGAATGTGAATATGTAGCGACCTAATCGTAAAAGTAAAACACCGTAATTGTCGGTACTTGTCAGTAAAGCGTATCTGAAGTTTTAAAAAATAACTTCCTCTAAGATTTCCCATAAAAGAATTACTATCGGAAAGTTATAAACGCTAGTTTGCCAGCCATCTTTCATTTAGCTCAATTGACCTTCACTTCCAATCCATATGATAGTTTGGAGGTTAAGTTGGTCATTATTCCCGGTTATGGAAAAACATTTTATTGCTACAACTTCGAATGAAACATTTGTTTTCCCAACGTCTAACTACACATGAGCCGAAAGAAATCCTTAGACACGCAGTTCACACAGAGTTTAACCATTAAAGTAGTTCCCGCCAAATTTTCAGACATATTTACCAATGCATGATATTAACCAATATTAAACTTAAACTGACTATTAATGCTATGCATTAGTAGATTTAGTCAATTAGAAACCATCGTTATATTTGTGGCCATTTAGTGACATTGTACCGCAGTATTGTAGACAACTGCATAGAACTAGCATCTGACGAGTCATCACGAATCCCCATTCGGGGTCCTAGAGATGGTACGACTCTGTAGCTTAAGATGCTATCAAATATAGTTCAAAATAAAAGCCACTGACGATTCCGCTGTAGTTTCGTATCAATTTCTTCGTAAGTTAGGTGAACTTTAACTGGATGGTTTCTTTTTTGAATGTATTATCGACTGAACTATATCTCTTACTACATACTGTTTTTATCCATTTATTTAATGATTGTACTATCATTTCCTCTCGTATTTCTTTTGTGATGCAATTTTATTGGTCCTAAATTGTACCGGAATCTATATGCATGCAATGAATAAAAATAAACTTATAATTGGATTAAACAGCTTAAATTGTTTTCGTTTATTAGTGTAATCTATTTGACTATGTCGGTCCACTTACCTGCTGTTCAGTTGGTCTGCATACATATATCCATCTTAGTATATTGTGTTAGTGGTATGTGTTATTAATTCGATCTGAACTTTTGTGATAACACGTTTAAAATGTCTCGATATCATCATGTAGACGACGGGTATGATCGTCTAGACTGAACCATGTTTCTTTCCATTTTGTTATCAGCAAAGATACTTTATTTTTGTATGGTCTTAAAGTCATTTGTTTGCTGATTTTTCCACCAAGGTCATGAATTTATGGAACTTCGAAATACAAATGCTGCAATACATTTGTATAGTCCATTTATTTTGGTCCCCCACTGTACCAGAATTCACATGAGTTAAATAAAATAAATGTAGGTTCTGTGCGGCATCAATTATTGTCAAAAGCTCTAGCTAAAAAAACGTATCGTAAGTTTAACTACTCATAGCGTTGGAACACGATGTAGTGATCTCGTGCTGAGCTAGGCCCAGAGAAATTGAGCTGCGAGCATCTTACTAATTGATGTAAAGTGGCTAGGTCGGTCGCTACTTCATTCCTATTAGGACGCGACCAATACACTACTAGTGGCAACCGTTTCGAGCTATTTGTAAACATAGAATAGCAAAGTCATCCATTATAGCAAAATATGAAGATTTCAAGTTGCTAAATAGTGTGTTTAAATATTGCGGAAATGTCACTGTAACATAGCTTCTTATTATCTATAATTACAATATGTCTAATCAGTTGCGAGTAGCTTTATAATTATCAGGGCGAAAGTCCCGACGAACTACTTATTAAACTTCGATAACCATTTCAACAAAATTTAGTCGAACTAGATGTAATGTTTTGAGAATTACTTCGTTATTCAACCACTTACATGTCCATGATTCATTTATTTGTTGATTATCATTTTCTGTCTAGCAAATGCGCCATTTAAAACTAACGGAAGCTTTTTAGTGTATATCCTGTGATAAATTCCAAATAAAATCCACAACTTATTCGACTTTTCTTAATGTAACCTGCAACTGGTTCTTGTAGGATAACAAATACTTACTGATACTAGGGTTTTGTTGCAGTGTTTTATTCTAATGTACATCTTTTTAGAAGTTTTTGAGGGTTAGAAAATATTGAGTTGTAAGTATCCTCGAAGTGCTGCTTCTGTGTTTTGGAATTGCTGGGTAAATAGTGTTAAAGTTAAACACAAAATCTTAGTTCAGAAATAAAGACCAATTAGTGGAATTTTAAACCTAAATTAATGAGCTAATTGAAGCAGGAAAATCTGATATGACAGTTACACCAAAACATGATATCCATGCACGACTTTACTAAGTATTAATCTACAGCACGGAAGCTTCCTCGTAATGTTCTGAAATTAGTATTTGGCGACGATATGATAATATAACATGCAGGTAAATTAACTCGTTACCTTCCAGCATATCTTTTGATTTGTTTCTGTTTTCGGTCATTTTTATCTTACATTGTTAGAACATGTGTGACGACTTGGAAAGATCCAATGTTGCATAAAACATGACTACCGAAACCTAGTTTCGGAATGATATTTGTAGCAAGCATATACAATTATAGAAGTACCCGCAGGGTCTGTGTTATTGTATCCCTGGAATATGTTACTTCAGTTGAAAATTTAATATTCACTTCATGCAAGCGGACGTTATTATTCTTATCTAAACTGAACTTTTTAAATGTATCATGTTCGTCCGGTCACTGGTACTGATCAAATTCTGTTGATCAATATGCAATATGGCGAACTAGTCTAAGTGACTCGGCACCGCGTACTATGTTTTATTATTTTCGTTTTACGCTAATTGGAGCCTGTTAACAGGCAGCATTTGTAGCGTAGAGGGAAGTGATGCTCTTTGTGAGGTTCAATTCTCAGTCACTCACTGTCACAGATGTCACCATTTGTTATTCGGACGGCAACTGACCTGTAGGATTGATACATTCATACCAATCTATCACTAACCTCTGTCATACTTATCTGACCTTGAGTGACAATTGAATCCCATCGACAAAGTTACGATCTAGAATCTTTGAACTATTAAAATGTACCAGAGTCCGTCACTTGTCATATAAACAATAATGGAAAACATTACAACCAAGAAAATACAACACAGGTGATAAAATACTCATTTTAATGATAATAATAATATTCCACATTTAATACAAATACACACTACAAGGAACAGTTTGTAAAACAGCATCTGAATGGCCACAAACTAGAAGATTATTGGAAATGTCAAAAGAAATAACATTTCTAGCCGATGTGTCTTCGGGTAGAGCAGATGATACAGTTAACTTACGACGTGAACCTTTGAATCCAACCCATGAATCTTGAAATACAGAGTAGTTTTAAAAAAAATCGAATTCACAACATTAATAGCATATCATAGTAAAATGAACTGAATAATATAAGGTAACAAGATTGATGTCACATAGAAGCTTGATACTTCGTGCTGATCTGTGTGTCATCTTGTAACATTATGGATAAAACACCAAGTTATCAGAAAAGTTAAAAGTAATTCTATCAACACAAACTTTGGTTAGTGAAATAGTCAGGTTTAACAATGAGGTCTAGATTTACTGACAGCTTGTTTATCTAAGCACAAACATTGGTACAAAGGGGTATATATAGGGTACACAAATGTGTAGTGGTTGAGATACTACCTGCTTGTCCAAACCGAAACAGCTAGTTTCCTTAAGGGACTACTCCCTGAGCCTTTGACTTGGAGATCTGGTCCATTTATTTCCTCAGGATCCTGGAACCCGTGTGCACCATTGGTTTGAGATTAGGGTTTTCCAATCCCCTCTAGATGGTTGCTTCGTACCCGGTTTAAGCCCCGGACATTCGCTTTTCATCCCTTCAGTTTCGTAAATAACACCGCAGAGAGAAAACAGTGAGTAGGACTTCGCTGGGAGTGGCTATATGCACGTGGTCATACGAAACCACTTGGAGAGGGAGAAATGACTCTCCCCACCCTCGGCTGTACCAAGGCATTACTGATAGTACTCACTTAGATTCAATGGAATAAAACTGTGAAACGGGAACGGGATGAATCAATAGTCTTGTCTGCAATATGATCTCAAACATATCTAAGTACTTAGAACTACTATTTTGTTTGCGTAACATGTAACAATGAAGAAGTATTACTGAGTATGAGTAGGGATATGAAATGATTTGCTACATCTTATTACCATAATCATTACGGCGTTTGGAAATTATAGCTATGATATTTAATTCTTTCTTGTTATGACATGTCATGTAATGTGCAACATAGTACCTGCCAGATATCTGCATTGGTTCAAATTGCCATACCACATTAGCACAACGGGATAGAATTAAGACAAATTCCATAGTAGTAAAAGTAGTAACAGTATCCGTAGTAATGGAAAAGGTTATTTACAAAAAAAGGTAAAAAGCGATTTTGTGAATTAGGTTCTCACGGAAGATAGAGAGTGAATGCACCTATGCCGTTGCGAAAGATTCTGAGCCATGCCACCCAAGTTTTTGAATAATTAGTTACGATGATCACACGCATCCCAAATAGGTAATCTACATCTATTTACACGACTCAGCTCAGTTGTCAATGACTTCATGAATTGGTATCACGTTTTGATTTGGCTGTCCTTAGCTTTCTATTTAAAGGGTGTCTGAAAATAAGTAAAATATTTTCTGTCAATCCACATGATTCACAAAAACTTTATTTTCTTCACCTCGTATCCCGTACACTTAGAGTTAGCACTCGCTTAGTCTATTTACTGAATGTGCGTTGTGTTGACCAACTGGTTAACATACGAATTTTCTCTCTACGGTCAAACTGGATAGACAAGTTATGAAAACAATAAAAGTTTAATTAGCAGTTATACATATGTGAAAATAGATTTTAAATAGTATTCATTAACAAAACTTGAAACTATCACGTCATTTTGGGAAAAATTTCGAAAGCGAATAAATTTTCATTCATAATTATGAGTTTAGGACTATACTCATTGAGTCAGTTGAAATTTCACTTTGAATAAATGAAAAGAAAAAGAACCCCAAATATTGTTGGACTTACCTGATTCATCACGACTACTAATTTGTAATAAACCAGCTGTTTCCGTAGCCATATATAAATGTTTCGGTTGACGTGGATGAAAAGCAGTTTCCCATATATATTGACCATCACAGGCTACTTCAGTTAATGGATATTGTTCAGCTCGTAAATCCCATATATAAGCAGCTGCACTAGAGGAATTAACACCACCTACAGATAAAAGATGAGGTTGTCCAGGATGTTGACCCAAGCATAATAAAGGTTGGGTTTCTCCAGGACTTTAAATAAAAAAACCCAGTGTATAGACTTATGAGATAGTTCTTCAGCAAATGTTACATCCAATAAAAAGAAGCAAATTAAATGGAGATATCGATTGAATCTATATTAATCTAAGCAACAATATAATACGTGTAACTGAAAGCTTTTAGAATATTTTGACAAAATTCTCATTGAATAGATTTCTGTTTACGATGATAAGGATGTTCGAGTTTTTTAAGTGCAAAACTCGACTCCTCAGAAGTAGTGGAATGTGAGCTTTGTATTCAGGAAAGTATAACAAAGTTGGATAGAAATAGAGAGTAGGAAAATATAATGAACATTTGTAAACTAGGTAAATACAGATGAGGACTGTAAATTTGCACGACTTAAGTGGAAAGATGCACTCGCTTTGGATTACGTTTTAGTGGTAGATTGCTATAAAACCTTACCATCGATGGAGTTACATATGCATTCGGGCAGAAGAATATAGTTATATTTGGGTATTAATAAGTATGCTGTCTTGAGACTTGAAGCAGAGCTATTGTTTTTAGAAAGGTCTAAATCCTATTTGGGTCACTAAAAGTTTTTTAGATCGTGTTACAGTTGAATACTGAATGATTATAAAAGTTATAATCCTAGAAACCATGTTAATTAATCGGAATCTGTTGTGATTATTACATGAAAACCGTTATATATTCTAAACTAGGACGACCATGAATGAAGGTAAACACATACGAAAACAATAACGTCTGATTGTTAAGCCCTAAGTAAAAAAGACCTAGACCACTATCCTCAAGGAATTTTAGGATTAACTCATTAACCTTTACATTGTTCTCTGATTTCATTCTTATGTGAAATATACAAAGAGGCAAATTAGACAAATGTTATAACAGAACGAATATTGAGAAAGTCGAAACTCTCAGTGTTATCTCCTGGATAACTATTATTGATATCTGTATTGTATAATCAGTAGACAACTATATTGCTACATTTCTGTATCCGCCTTGTTGTAAGCTTCCAACAGAACTTCTAACTGTTGTCATACATTTTACTAATCCTCAGTTATTGCTAATTGATTATGTACTGTTTGTTCCGCCCTCTATCACTTATAGTCTGATTGTGATTAAAGTATGATTTCTTATTTAGTATGCTGTGTGGTTAGGGATCTTCAGTATATTATTGTATAAGTTTTTGATCGCAATCGAATTGGGAACAACAGAGAACTAATGTGCTTCTTATAATTGTCTTCTGGATCGCCACTGGGTTAGAAAGGGGTTCGAGGACCGATAGGCATTAAGGCCTTGATTGTCGTTCATTGGTCACTGGTCCGATTGACAATATAGTACACGATATCGATCCGAAATTTTCAAGCTTTAACAAATTTGTAGCAGCCCTTTTTCCATGATACAACAAGATCAAAGTTGTTTATCATTCACAGATTAAAAAATGAACTTCCGAGCTGTAGAGCATACTTAACTGTGTAATTAAGAATCTTTACAAATCTTCAACATAAATATACCCTCAAGGAACTTATATTTAAATTAAAAATATGCAAATACACCTTGATAGTGAGTGCCAACTAGTACGAAACCCAGGCTCAGAATCGGCAGTCAACTGCCTTCGACCACCGAATATAAAAACAGTACACCCGGTGTCAAGTCAGATAGACTAGTAGCCAAATTGCAACTATATCGATATAATCCGACGACCATTAAGGGATCAAGCAAACATGACATTTGGTACTAGTCAGCAACCAGTTAGTACATATGCCGATATTCATATCTGGGGAGCAACTTTTATGACTCAATCTACTGAACAAAAGAACATATTTTTAAAGATACTTTGATGAAATAAAAGAGGAGCCTACACAAATATCAATCAATGTTAACAGAATAGTCTAACATAATAAATAAATACAGAAAGGATAAATTAAATCAGAACACTATCAAAATAGAAGTTAATCAAACAAATTATCGGGAGAGAAAACTATCCCAGTACATAATTACCGTAACAGTCTACGTTGTGGTTTATTCAAGCCGGTACGTAAATCCCATAGTTTCAATTGACCTAATTGATTGACACTAGCCAAGGTAGAATTATCTACACGTTCAAGTGCATTTATTGTAGATATATCTGCTCCTGATGTTAATATTGCATCTAATTCATAATTGATTTTTTTGAAAGAAAATAAACAGAAATCGGTAAAATAGAAGGAAGTCAGCATATTAATTTTGGAAATAACATTTAAGATACTTGCCTTTATGATGAGAGTCCACAAATATCCATAGACAAAGTTTCTAGATGACCAGAAAAGGATGAAAACGTTTTACGCAATCAGCATTGAATAGAAGTTCTCGGAAGTATTTGAGGAAACGGAGAATTATGTGTCATATTTCGACTAGATAATTAATTATGTTTTTATTCCATTTAGTATGTTTCCAGAAGTTTTTAGAAGACCAACGCCATCCAGAAGCCTATATATAAACTCGATCTTATGTATATAGATTAACCTTGAAATAAAGCTTTTTCCCATATTTTGCGCCTTTTCTCTAGTGTTCGAGTTCACGGGCAGTAGTAGTCGGGGAATATAGGAAGCAGTTAAGAAGTCAGTGATCAGCAAGAACTAACACTTTACAAGGTAACAATAAAATTGATTGCTTGGAGAGGTATTTCAAATAATTAGTTTGTACAATTAGGTGAGTTGTGAACACGTAGTTATTCTTGAAAACCAATTTTTAACATTAATAAGAAACAAATTTCCATCAATGATAATAGAGAAAGATCGAGTTTTTGCTGAAATTGCATAATATATACAACAGAATTGTAGTTAGAGGTAAGGCTTGAAGTTTTTGAGGTCCAATGTATATCTGATAAAGCCTATAAGTCCTATATTACGATAAGACAGAGATCTACTCCTTGATTGGAGAAAACTACAGGATAGTTACGAAACACTAGAAGCAATTTTAATTTTTACTAATACAACATTTCACTTTGCCCCTTGAACGTAGAAACATATAAAATAATTCTCGACAAATTTAAGCCCATTTCAATCAACATATTATGAGTTAAATCTAGTTACTTGTTTATGTCGTCTAGGCATATCTTCCTAGCTCTACTGGCAATACATCTTACTAGATTTCTCTTATAATGAATGGGTATAGAGCTCAAGAAATGTGTACTGGCTTGTTGAGGAACTTTCCCTATACACAATTCTACTGACAGAACCACTTCCTTATCTGTCTAAAAAAATGTAGAGGAAATGGAGTTTCCCTAATTGTCTTAAAGAATTGAAAAATAACAGGATAACTACTCCAACCATTCACGATTCATTTAAACATACTGGGTCGAACACACCACGACTCCACAGTTTACCCCAAGTCCACAAGTTAGAACCTCCCCTGCGTCCAGCTTCAGATATGTATAATCTGCCATACCATAAAACCGAAAAGTGGTTAGTTCGAATCATAGAACCCCTGGTCGTCAACAAAAGCGTTAAAGACATTTTCAATTTCATTTCCAAGGTGGGACACTTGAACTTAAATGGGAAACGGATGATATCTTCAAATGTTGCTTTTTTGTTCACCAATGTACTATTAACTAATATAATTGACTTTGTGTGTCAACAACTACTTGAAAAACAGATCAATATTGAAATTTTCGGGGTTAGTCTCAAGGAATTACTTCTGAAATGCACAACGAACGTCCATTTTGTCTTTAGTAACACATATTATAGACAAACTGATGGAATATTGATGGGTTTACCTCTAGGTTCTATCCTTGCTGACTTTTCTTCTTGTAAAACTAAAAAACGTACCTCTCAAGGGGAGTTATTGATAAACTTGAATTTTATTGACGTTACATTGATGATATTTTCATCATCGTCGATCAGAACAATGGAAAAAAAGAACTCTTAGTGTTACTTGACAGTAAATACTTAGCAATCAGATTTACGTGTGAGAAGGAACGCAATAGTAAACTACATTTTCTCTACATTTTGTTAAACAGATAAGAACGTGGTTCTGTCAGTAGAAGTGTGTACAGGAAAAGTTCCTCAACAAGCCAGTACATACTTTTCTTGAGCTTTATACTCATTCATTATAAACGAAACCTGGTTAGATGTATCGCTAATAAAGCTATGAAGATACGCTCAAACGGCACTATAAATTTAAATTTACCAAATAATATTTATACTTCTGGATAAGTAGTTTACTGTTTTATGACTCTTTATAATATGAAATTAGTCAGATTCTTCCTATAATCTATAAATTTTTATATTAACCTGTGATTATCATATATTTCTTTTAAAAAAATTCTCATAAATAATTTTGTTCCAATTTAGTAGATTAGAGTGATTATTAATAATGTTGAATAAGCTACAAAAATCTACACGTAATAACATTTAACAATATACACTTGTATTCATTAAGATGGGTAGTGGCTAGCAGTGGGATCCAGGACGCGCGTCTCGTCCTGTTTGGGACTCGTCAGCTGGATGTACCTGCATCTCCGAGTTGATGCTCACTCTGGGACTCGAACTCTGCACTGTTCGCTTCAAACGCCACCGCGTTACCCACTTAGCTACTGGGTCCTGATAGCCACTTGCTTGTGCAATGGGGTGAGATGCAGGTACATCCAGCTGACGAGTCCCAAACAGGACGAAACGCGCGTACTGGATTCCACTGCTAGCCACTATCCATCTTTGCTCATAATGCTTGTAAATTAAGGCAATATCGAGGCATACGCACAGTATGCACATATGCCAATAAGAGACTGATCAATTTCAGTCCTAAAACATCAATGGGAAGATTCAAGTAAAACAATACCAAGTGAATTTGTATTGATTGTTTAAATATTCCCCTTGATGTTAAGAATCACTATTGATCAGTTTCTATTTAGTCTATGTGCATCATAGACGAACTGCCTCGATTTCTCCATTAACTCACAAGTAACCAATACAAATGAATTCAACTTCATCTCATGCCATAAGTCAGTGACTATCTACACTCCGTAGTTAAGTCGAAAACGTGATAGCGTTTGAGGTGTACTGTACTGAATTCGAGTTCCGGAGTGAACATCAACTCTGAGATGCAAGTAACTACAGTGAACGAAACCTACGTAAGAGGAGATGTGTGTTCAGGATTCCACTGATAGTCATCATCCATTTTTGCTTATAATCTATAAGTTGTCATCTCCAAAGAGAACAAGTTTATTGGATTGAATCCTTATAGTGAACTTATAGACATTATGATAAAACAATATACAGATATACAAATACAATATTTAGGTTTGTATGATTAAATCTCTAATAAATGCTAATAGGATTATGCATAATGATAGAACAAAGTAGTTATAAAATTGTTGCTTTAATTTCAACAGTTGAGATCATGAGTCAATTGAAGTTAGACCACCATGGAAAACCTGGAAGCACTGGAAAGCCGTTTCGTCCTATTGTGGGACTCCTTAGCAGTGCGCATCCACGACCTCACCTCGCGGGATTCCGACCCAGAACCTATCAGTCTCGCGCCAGTCGCTTAACCACTAGACCACTGAGCCGGCCGGCATCCAACGGTGTTAATGTCTATCTTCAACCAATCCACGAAATTCGGCGACACATCCACCATTGTCATCAGTGAGTTACTATCTCAGAGCAGACCCGTTGAACTCCATTGGTCACTGCTTCTCACTAGAACTCCAGGATATACCTCTTGAAGCCAGTCACTAGTGAGTATATGTTGATTAGTATCAGAAGCGGTTTTGTGGAGATTGTAGTAATTTCAACAGTTGAGATCATGAGTCAATTGAAGCTAGACCACCATGGACTTATGATCTCAACTGCTGAAATTACTACAATCTCCACAAAACCCCTTCTGATATTATTGCTTTAGGTGAAAATCGCTTTTTCCTTGTCGATAATTAATCAAAAACAATTGAAAGTTTAGCAAAACTGTAGGTCATGAAGACGTTGGGGATAGACGTATAGATAGCAGTATATAATATAATAAATTACTGACTATCTCAATATCACACAAATTGCTAGTTAGTAAGTAACATTAGTCACTGCAAACCAGATTTATCAATGGTGTATTTCTGATCACTAAACAAAATGTGATGGAATATTTTGTCCTTAAAATAGAGAGAATACCATGAAATATTGATTTCCAGCAATTATTTACAGTACTTTATTTACATTTACACATCCATATACTCAGCTTTGATCTATACTAAAGGTTAACCAATAACTCTTTCTTGATAGAAAGATTAAGTTTTAGCTTTTTGGTTGCTATAGGATTTGTGAATCTCAATATAACTTAATTATATTGTTTAATGATTAATTTTAATTTGAACGCAATCATTTTACCCACTTTATATTCCATGTTTTGTAGAGACTGCCCAAATGAACTAAAAGAACTTATATTGTTCTTTAAAATGTTCATTTATGAATAATAATAACTGATGAAAATATCAATTCAATATCCAACAATGGAATTTGATATTTCTAAACTTAATAATTCTTCACTAGATACTTTTATTAATTTAAATGAATATTATTGATGAATTGAATGGTGATAATGAAAATATGCATGATTAGGAGAAGATAGAAATTTGTAACTCATATATCTTATTATTATTATTATTACATTATTACATTATTAATCATGTCAACAATAGAATTTAGACATGGCTGAGAATCGATCACAATGGCGTCGGTGTATACACTCTCTGTTTTCCCTTAAACTAAGAGATTAAAATCGTTTCATATCTTTCTTCCTACCAACTAATTCTTTCTTCCTGTACTATATCCTTATTGCAATCTTTCTTTTATATATTACCACAACTGAATTAACTACTTTTATGAATCCGGTGTTCATCTTTTTGTGTTAATAAGGTATAGCAACTTGGACCGATGCATATATGTGCCTGGTCCTACGTTGTAGCTGACTGATTGACTGACTGAGAATTTAGAAGATTTAATTAAAATTACAAAACAATCATAATTATAATGAATACATAAATTACCATTATTAAATTTGATATGATCAGTTTTCTGAAAATTAGGAATACGGTTTACTTGAACAATAGCTAATTGACCAAGTTCATTGCTTACATATGCATGTAGACCATCAGTACTAATTGCTAAGCTAGACAGAGCTGATGGAATATTACCACATAAAATATGCTCTCCAAAAGGCATCCAATTAGTTGCAGATAGTCGAACTAGACAAGGTTGAACATGACAAACTTGAAACAATTGTAGAGTACCATTAGAACTGGCAGAAAAAATCACTTTACTTGGATGATGAACCTTGAAGTAAATAAAATAGATTATAAGTTAGCATTTTCAATGAAATAACTATTTGACTAATAGTTATCAGAATGGGTTTTGTGGAGATTTTTAGAAATTTCATAGGTTGAAATCATGAGTCAATTGAAGCTAGACCACCATGGAGAACCTGGAAGCACCGGAAGGCCGTTTCGTCCTATTGTGGGACTCCTCAGCAGTGCGCATCCACGATCCCGCACCCCACGGGATTCTAACCCAGGACCTACTGGTTTCGCGCGCGAGCACTTAACCACTAGACCACTGAGCCGACCGGCATCCAATGGTGTTAATGTCTAACTTCAACCAATCCACGAAGTTGCGCCACCGTACACCATTGTCTTCAGTGAGCTGATATCTTACAACAGACCTGGTTGAACTCCACCGGTAACGGCTTTTCACTAGTTATCAATTAACATAAAGTTAATAATAGAATATTGATAATAGATGGAATTAATTCCAGTTTATAATTACCAACACTAAATTTTAATAAGTCTGTAAGAAGCAAGAAATGTATAAGATAAGAAATTGAGACTGCTGTATAAAATGAAATAATGAAACAATCTTCCAGTGAAGTGTACTCGCCAATCACCATTTCATATAATAATTTTAATAGAAATGTAAATGTAACGTGACGACAAGTCAATCTGAACATTAAAATGAAGTGTTAATCAGTTTAAAAACTATAGTATCTACAAAATATAGACAAACCTAATAACTAGGATGGTTCCGATCTGATTAGGTTATACACTGATGGATGAGTCAATTAAGTACTTTCTTCTACATCGTAAAACATCATATATTTTAACATGAGTGGTAGAAAAATCCAGTAAATAAGAATATAAGGCTTGGAGATATTACAGTTCTTGTAAACAATAAAATAGTGACTGAATCGCGACTGATCTAAAAGCTACGAATTGACGACTGGTAAACAAAAATTTAATGTTCAAGACCCATATGAGTAGTAGTAAGGATAGTCAAAGAAGTCAAACAGATAATAAAGTTTAACAATCCCCATAGAATATTCGAAAATAAAGAATATTTAAGCGAACAATTATTTTCAATAACTTCATCATCAGGCTCTATACAGTTATAAGTTCATAATTATTATTATATTTTACAAAGGCATTCACTAATGAATTCGACAACGTTATATGTTAAAAATGCGGAAATAGTTTTTTATCCAAGTTGAAATAAGTAAAACTGTTATAAATATTTATTATTATTATTATTATTACTATTATTATTATTATTAAACTAGAATCATAAGCTCAGAATTGAACGTTGAGTGGTTCGTATACCTGGCGACTGATCATCAAGTAGTATCCAGTTCAATTACTTTCAACGTTTGAAAAGTAATGCATCCAATACCTCACAGAAAACAAATTCTAGTTTAGTTGGAAGAGACCATAACGTTTAAATTGGAAGCCGAATCCATAAACGACTGGTTTGAAGGACAGATATAATGCATTATTAAAAAATTTCCAACTTAGGTTTCTTTTAAACAATTCCTATATATTACGAAAGTCACTACAACATAAAAATGTTATTTATTCGGTATACCCTGAATTTAGACGTCTTATTCTGTACCTTATCAAATTAATTAAGTATTTAGAAAGACTAGATACATCACTTTATTTTTGGAATTGTTCTCTTTTTAAAAAAAAAGAAATCTAAGGCGTGGAAAAGTTCAGATAATGAGTTTTTCCTGATAGGGATGGGGTTGCTAACTGTACACCAAAACCTCCTTTACCGGAGCTTAAGATCGGTGTCAACCTTCAAAGGCCACCAAATAAAGTTTATGGATAAGTTAAGCACTTGAATTTTAAAAAAACTACTTCGGTAATATTAGAAATACACTAGGAGAAATTTTGATAGGATCTGATGTTATGAATAAGAAAAATTGCAAAATATGATAGAAAACATAATTCAAAGGTGAAATTTTAAAAGTTTGAAGTTGAATGTATAGAAGCCATCATAAATGATAAAAAACATGACCGACAAAATTTAAATAGTAATAGGTATGAGACAAACATAGTATTGATTACTCATCAGTGACACTAGGTATTGAGGATTGGAACCCAATGAAGAGTGGAGTTAGTTCCATTAAAATTCCCCGGTACATTTTACCAATCTTCTCGACGTTATATATATATATATATATATATATATACAACAAACCTTCAAATCTTGAACAGAGCCCGGATGAACAAGAGAGCATAACAAACGTGGATCATCAACAGTATCACCGAGCACACCAGCAGTAGTACAATCTTCCTTCTCTGATATTGGTTTAACTGTTTCATTATGATTATTAACAGAAGGATCACTGCTATACTGCCATAAACAAACACGATTCACCTAAACGTAATACAAAGTGAACATAATGATAAATGATGTAAATAATGATTAATTAAATGTTCAGTTTTATTTTCGAAAAATAGGCAAAAAACAAATCAAAAGTAAAGACAAAAATGTTGAAGCATAAATTAATTTTAAATGGAAACACATGGTAAATTACTGACAATGTAAAACAGTAAAACGAATAAAATGAACTACTGTAGTGCGTGCTATTTATATGGACAGATATAAATAGTACATGTCAAGAATTGAAAGTAGGATTTATATTAACAGAAGAAGAACATGAAGAAAAAATGAAAATCAGAAGTAGTACGAGTAGCAACAGGAATGGTAGAACGATGAAATTTGTAAAAGACAATTCAAGAAAGATGTGAAAATGGTGTATATGATTTTGCTTAATACAATATAATTGGTTAACACTAACCAAGTCTTCGTTTATTACAATGCTTGATCCTTTAAAGGATTCTATTCATATAATATTCTGTGTATGATCGATTGATTCATTAATAACTCCGCCTGAAGTCCCTCCGGGGGCTACTGCCGGTCCCGAGCCCGGATAAAGGAGGAGGGTTGGGCATGGGGTTAGCGCCCCCATCCCGTAGAAAACTAACTCGCTAAAAAAACGCTAATCAGAAAAAATTATTCATTAATAATAACTGAACAATAATTGTATTTTTTGTTAACATGTAAAATCGATTGGATGAGAGTTTAGTTCTAAATAAAATTTACTTAAAAGCCGTTAGAAAATAGATAGCACGGAAAAAGTGCCCTATCTTACTACTGATGAACATATCCGATGTTTATTGTCAATTTAGAGGTAAAAATCAGTGTCACAATATTTACAATTCTGAATTTATAGTAAACTTGAGTATCTGTTAAAATTTACGCATATAAGGTGCATTAAGTTTTTTAACCTAATAAAATATCTTACTTCACATAGATTCGTCTCTGATCAATAATCACTAATATTGTGTTTGCCTGTTTCTTAGTGGTAACCTAATTCCATATATATCGACTATGTGGTAACATTTCAAGCTATGAAGCTGGGTAATACGGGTTCAAATCCACCAAGAAGTATCATTCTCCTCAAATTTACAAGTACGCCTTGTTGATGAGTACAAGATAGAACAAAAAATAGCTCAAGGGTTTCCCGTTGACTACCTCCAACCACCTAACATCTCAACATAGTGTACGATAGTAGAATAGTAGTCATAATTCAGTTTGATCGATAGAATTCGATCAATACTAAAGGGGAAAACAAACATGAAATTCGTTTCAACTCAGTGATCAATCAAATATAAATATCTCACTCCTACCTACAGGAGATCAGTTGCGGCCAAATAGTCCGTGGTAATATTTCTGAATACGTGGCAGTGGATTTGAATCCTACGTGGATCATCAAGACCATAGACACTTACATCTAGAGATACCTTACAATTTTATTCGACTAAATAATAACAAATCCCTTATTTTATTATGATATATCAAGAAACAAATCTAATAAATTGAATACAATATAAAAATAAGGAATTTTATTACCTCTTCCAACCAACTACCAGTAACAATTAATTCTTGATATTGTGTCTCTGGTTTGCTGACAAATCGAACACGAGATAACTTAAATGAAATACACTTAACACTCGAACGATTAGAACATTGGACCATTTTGAATTTGTCACTATTATTCAGGAATAATTTTAGAGCTTACTAATACAATAGCCAGTATTAGTTGAACTTTCTAAAATAATAAGGAAACAAACAGAACAGATATTGAAGTTGAAATACATAACGAATTAATAGGTTTGCATAATAATAAAGTTTAATTTCATACGGTGAAAAACGAGAAAAATTGATTAATAAACTTTGAATATCAATGACGCATCTTATAACTGATAAGCGTCAGCAATCAAGATCCCGACATCTCAACCATCTAAATGTAACCAGAAATTTGTCAAAAAAAAACAATGAATAAAATAAATCCCGATCATTTGGCTTACTGGTTACTCAATTGTAGTTCTTTAGTAGTAAGTAGGGGTTAAGTTAGCACTTGAAGTTAAAATAAGAAATCAGCTTTAAAAGTAAATTACTAAGTATCGAATACTTTTATTAAATTGGTTGTTTGAAACTTCCTGTTGATGTTAAGAATCACTATTGATCAGTTTCTATTTAGTCTATGTGCATCATAGATGAATTGCCTCGATTTCTTCATTAACTCACAAGTAACCAATACAAATGAATTCAACTTCATCTCATGCCATAAGTCAGTGACTATCTACACTCCGTAGGTAAGCCGAAAACGTGATAGCGTTTGGGGTGGACTGTACTGGATTCGAGTTCCGGAGTGAACATCAACTCTGAGATGCAAGTAACTACAGTGAACGAAACCTACGTAAGAGGAGATGTGTGTTCAGGATTCCACTGATAGTCATCATCCATTTTTGCTTATAATCTATAAGTTGTCATCTCCAAAGAGAACAAGTTTATTGGATTGAATCCTTATAGTGAACTTATAGACATTATGATAAAACAATATACAGATATACAAATACAATATTTAGGTTTGTATGATTAAATCTCTAATAAATGCTAATAGGATTATGCATAATGATAGAACAAAGTAGTTATAAAATTGTTGCTTTAATTTCAACAGTTGAGATCATGAGTCAATTGAAGTTAGACCACCATGGAAAACCTGGAAGCACTGGAAAGCCGTTTCGTCCTATTGTGGGACTCCTTAGCAGTGCGCATCCACGACCTCACCTCGCGGGATTCCGACCCAGAACCTATCAGTCTCGCGCCAGTCGCTTAACCACTAGACCACTGAGCCGGCCGGCATCCAACGGTGTTAATGTCTATCTTCAACCAATCCACGAAATTCGGCGACACATCCACCATTGTCATCAGTGAGTTACTATCTCAGAGCAGACCCGTTGAACTCCATTGGTCACTGCTTCTCACTAGAACTCCAGGATATACCTCTTGAAGCCAGTCACTAGTGAGTATATGTTGATTAGTATCAGAAGCGGTTTTGTGGAGATTGTAGTAATTTCAACAGTTGAGATCATGAGTCAATTGAAGCTAGACCACCATGGACTTATGATCTCAACTGCTGAAATTACTACAATCTCCACAAAACCCCTTCTGATATTATTGCTTTAGGTGAAAATCGCTTTTTCCTTGTCGATAATTAATCAAAAACAATTGAAAGTTTAGCAAAACTGTAGGTCATGAAGACGTTGGGGATAGACGTATAGATAGCAGTATATAATATAATAAATTACTGACTATCTCAATATCACACAAATTGCTAGTTAGTAAGTAACATTAGTCACTGCAAACCAGATTTATCAATGGTGTATTTCTGATCACTAAACAAAATGTGATGGAATATTTTGTCCTTAAAATAGAGAGAATACCATGAAATATTGATTTCCAGCAATTATTTACAGTACTTTATTTACATTTACACATCCATATACTCAGCTTTGATCTATACGTAAGGTGTAAAGGTTCTTGATACTAATCAGCTAGCCAGACAGAAATAGGTGTGGTGGAGCTTGAACAATCAACAACTAACAGTTCAAAATTGAATGACTTGGTCAACAAAGGTACTACACTTCACTTTCCAACAATACTGTTGTGAAATTTGTAAGTGATGGATATTTTATTTTATATATTTAACATATGAAATTGTAATTTTTTCAACATTCAACGCAAAAAAAGATGACCAAAGTACATATGTATAATGATTCCAATGCTCATGATGTAATTACAACAAACAAAAAAACTTTTAAAATGAACCAAGAAAAAAGATAGAAAAGAATCATAACTTTATTCAATATATGGATTTTCATAAAACGATATCTAACATCTTTACAATGTTATCATTTAGAAAAAATAGCCAAATTATTTAATGTACACGTGGAGAACATTGAAAATCTACAATAAACGATAATTGTGTGTGTTCTCTCTATGTCTCATTACTACTATGTCCCATTGATTCATCTCTCTGTTCTGATGATAATATATCAAGTTGTAGATCATTTTTATTATCATCATCACTAACGTTATCAATAGAAGTAGTCCGAGAATTCTGGAATTTTGAATGTACCGCCGCAGTGACACTATTAATTGGTGTTTCACAAGTAGTATGATTAAAAGATTCATCGTCACAAGGAAGTGATGTTGGTGGATGCGAATGATGAACCGGTGTTGTTATAGTAATCATTGATTCCATCGAGGAAGTAGCAGTAATAGAAGTGATATTTTTAGCACTATTTCTATCATTAATATCATCTTCACCATAACAAATGCTTGAAGTTAAGTGACCTGAATGGATAGTAAGTGCTGCTGATGATGAAGGAGGTTGCTTGGAAAGATGAAGTTTCCTCGATACTGTTGATTCATTGAAAGAAGTGAGAGCCTCTTTCAATGAAATACTCAAGGGCTATAAGTAAAAATGATAAGTTAGGGAAAATATTACTAAACAATAATGAGGTCTTATAAATACATCTTTACTAGCTACGAAGACAAAATTTTTAAATTAGCCTGATATATATATATATATATATATATATATATATATATATATTCCACATTTTGAAAGTAGAAATCTTATCCCAATCTTACAAACTATACAAGGCATATCATCTCTACTGTATTTCATAAACATCCAGAGTGAGATGGGGATAGGCCTTCTAAGAAAAAAAAACGCTTAATGTCTCTACACAAGACACCGTACATTCGTCTAGTGTATACAGAGTGTAATTAAGTTTTCATAACATAACTTATTATAAGATAAAATTAAGACATAACCTAGAAACTTGTATTGTTAAAATAAAATCAAAATTTCAACAAAGAATGCCATTTTCATAAAATCAATGACTGCTTAAACACTTATCTATTCAATAGATTTGAGATAATTTGACAAAGATCGAACATTATTACTTGAAAATTTATTCAAAAGTTGTTCAATAATTGAAAGTATTCCATTTTCCTTTCAAATGGATAACATTTTATATCTAGCACATATGAATTTAGTAGGGACTTTGAGATACATTTAACATACAAAAAACACAATAAATAATTACAAGAAACTAAAATGAATTGGTTCCACATTTTAAAGAATTTTACTGTTTAGCATTTTCTACGCATTACCACTTGATAATAAATAATAAAAAAATGTCAACAAAGTTTTCAATGGAATTCAAGCTACAAATGTAATCAAACTGACAGAAGTCATAATATATCAAAGGATATGAAGGAATGATATAAGCAGTTAGAAAGTCAAATAAATTGATAAGTAGCTTTTACTTCACAGATCAGAATGATCTCTTTTACCATAATACTAACCGTTTGGCTCGTTTTAGATTAGATTCATTAATTATGTTTACATAGATGAAATTATATTGCACTATAACGCTTTTAATAATAAGAATTATTGCTACGTTTATTATATTTCAGTTTGAATTTTGAACTGCTGAAAAAAAGAAGACGAAACTCTCCCACATTTTGATGATTTTGTGCTTGTCAATGAGTAATTTCCAGATGAATTCTTCCAAAATTCTAGTTGTAAAGTCAAGTCGGGAATGAAGCGATTAACTAACTGATAACATACGAATAAAAAACTAGTTGAAGTTGAAAATATAACCCGTTTGATAAATCAAACACAAGAGTATGAATGTTATACTTCCTGTGAGACTTAAAGCTTCTAAACTTGATCTTACTAACTCATTTACCAGGTACGCATTCACGTAATTAGCTTTAAGCTATGCTCTAATTATGAGAACTAGTGGTAATAACAAATTACTAGAACCGAAGTAGGTGGAACGGTTTTCAGACCTGCAACGATAGCTGAAAGTCGATCACTATAACCACTGAACTACCAGTCCAAGATTCTTCGCGTAGACATTTTAAAGTCAATTAAAATTATGAAGAAACATCTTTGTCGAATTCTAACGGTTTTGTTGTAAATATCAGTATCTGTGGTAAAAACTAATCTCCAGTAGTTTTACAATGAAATATAACGTATAGATTGGTAGTCAATTACTTCCAGCCAATTGAAATCAGATATCATTAAATTATTGAAGATTTTGTTAAATATAAATAAAATAAAAACCTGAATTTCTTTCGCAGCAGATTTCATAACTTCCGTTCTGGAAAACTCCGATTCTTCTGCTTTCCTTGATGTTTGTAAGTCTAGAAAAAAGGACAGAAAAATGATATCCTTAGGTTGAAATGATCAAAGGTGTTTTAGTTTGAGTACATATATATAATGAAGTGAGAAGGAAAGCGTTTTTTTCGGAAAGAAATAATATTCAAAATAAAGCCATCCGTTGGAGAATGATAACTGCTCATTACAAATTCAAAAGATGGAACAAATTTAGTATTGGGTTGGAACGTTACTTTAATATAAAGAATTATATCTAGTATGAAAATCATTTAAGTATGATTATATTTTACATTCAGCAATCAATATTACAAAAAATACATTTAGACAGTCTTCAGTAGAATGCCTTTTCCGACAGCAGTGTCATATTGGTCATATTAATTAACTATACAGAGTTTCATGAGATATGGTGTTTTATTGTATTCTTATGTAGTCTTCATGAGATTTTTACCACCACAAATCACAAAGTACGATAAATACGCTGAGATCATATGATTAAATTAAAACATTTCAACGCGGAAATATATTCGTAGCGAACAATGAATTAAGATAAAAAGTAATGAAGGATAACTGATTATGCAGAATCTATGCGAGGATTTGAAATCAACAAAAGAGTCAAGCAGGAAATGCAGAAACCAAATGATGATAGTTGTCTGAAAACAGAACACAACACCTAAGGACTCCAGGCACTGACAATTGTATCAAAAGCTCATTCAAAGAAAATGTGTGCCCCAAATAAGCAAATGAGGATTAAATTACAATATGTACTATGAATCAGAAATCAGTACTTGGTTGTCAAATATTAATGAAAACAAATTAATCACAGAATTAGGTAAGGTACCCAAAATAAGCAAGATCCTATAACGCAGTAAACACAAGGTAAAATGAATGGTATGGGAAAGAAAAAGTACCTTTGGGATTACGAAAAATGAGTTAAATATTAGAATAATAGTAGAAATGGAC